ATAAATTTAAAAAGATGAAATTTACTTTTAATATGAAATAGAAGGAACTTACCAATTAAAATTAATAAACCGTGGGAACGCACAAATCTTCCCAGTTCGACCGGTCCAACTGACTGGTTCGATTCAGTTTTTAAAACACTGACACTACTAGGGGTGTTCATGGGTGCGGGTCGACCCGCAAACCCGCCTACCCAAACCGAACCAACCCACTAATTACCCGGACCCATTCATTTACGGGTATACCCGACCCAACCCGTAACAACCCGTATAAATTTGGTTCGGGTATTGGGTTTTAGTTTCTAAACCCATGAACCCGTTGACGTGGCATAATTAATTATTATTATTATTATAATATTATTATTTATAAATTTTAAAGTTGCTATAACTTTGTAAATTGTAACGTACACAAAGATCTTTTGCACTTTCCTTCCAGTTTCCAATCACACATTAAATTATTATTATTATTATAATTAAATATTATTATTAATATTAATCATGCTTGCTTGACTTATGCACTTCTAGTTTATACTTTACTGTCTTTTTATTTTTTTAATGAATCTTTATTAACTAATAATAATTAAGTATATATTAGAAACTTACTAAACTAAAGACAATATCACTTAACCTAACCCTATTTTTTTACTACGGCAAATCTCAAACGTCACCTCTCCTCTTTCTCTCACGATTTTTTTTTTCATTTTACTCTCTCACATTCCAATTCCATCTTGCTTTCGAAAATCCACAGTCTATACTTTGACTCTCTCATAGTTTCGTCTCCATATTGAATAAGGTTTTATACTTTTTATAGTTCTATAATATATTTATTTCAATGCAATATATTGTTTTTACAGTATGTACTTCAATAGTTTTATATCAATGCAAAATATGATGATAGGTTCAATGTAATGTACTATTTTGTTTCATATGATGCAAAGTACTATTTTGTTTCATATGATGAAAATATATTTTGATGCAAAGTCCTGTTCTGTTTCATATTATTAATTTAAATATATTTTGTTTAATGTTGTTTTAATAATAATTTATATTAAAAATTGTTTTTTTATAGAAAATGGAAGTGGAACAATCACAAATTGTCAGTGAAGATGTTGCTCATCCACTTGAACAAGAGCAAGAAGTTCAACAAATACAAGGAGAAGGGTTGTCATCATTGCCACCAAGTGCACTAATAGAGGTAAGCAAAAGAAAACCCTCTAGAAAACCTTCTACAGTTTGGAAAGATTTTAAAAGGGTTAATGATAAGGCTATATGTAAGTATTGTGGGAAACAATATGCTGCAAATAGTGGTAGTCATGGCACTACTAACATGCATAAACATTTGAAAGTGTGCCTGAAAAATCCAAATAGGGTAGTTGATAAGAAACAAAAAACTATAGCTATTGGAAAAGAAAGTGAGGATGATCCTAATAGTGTTAGCTTGAAACTTGTTGATTTTAATCAAGAAAGGACTAGATTAACACTTGCAAAGATGATAATCATTGATGAGCTCCCTTTTAAATATGTTGAAAATGAAGGATTTAATATGTTCATGAAAGAGGCTCAACCAAGATTCAAAATTCCATCTTGTGTCACTGTTGCCAGAGATTGTTTATGCTTGTACTTCGATGAGAAAGAAAAATTGAAATCTATGTTGTCTGCTAATAAACAAATGGTGTCTCTTACCACTGATACTTGGACATCGATTCAGAATATGAATTATATGTGTGTTACAACTCACTATATTGATGACGAGTGGAATTTAAAGAAGAGTATATTAAGCTTTGGTATAATTGCTGACCATAAAGGTGAAACTATAGGGATAACATTAGAGAATTGCATGAAGGAATGGGGTATCAAGTCTATATGTTGTGTGACTGTTGATAATGCAAGTGCTAACAATTTGGCAATTGACTATTTAAATCGAGGCATGAGTTTTTGGAATGGTCGTACTTTGTTTAATGGGGAGTACTTGCATATGAGATGTAGTGCTCACATATTAAACTTGATTGTCAAAGAAGGAATAAAGGATATTGATGAATCTGTTAAAAGAATTAGGGCTGCATGTAAGTTTGTCAAGGCTTCTCCTAGTAGGTTGGCTACTTTCAAGAAGTGTGCAGAAGCTGTTGGTGTATGTTCTAAAGCATTGGTAACACTAGATGTAGAAACCAGATGGAACTCTACTTATTTAATGTTGAACATCGCTGAAAAGTATGAACATGCATTTTACCGCTTAGAACATGTTGATGTTGCATTTTTAACTAATCTCCGTATTGAGTCGAAAGGATGTCCTAACCGAGCTGATTGGGAACGAGCTCGTATTTTTGTGAAGTTTTTGAAAACTTTTTATGATGCCACACTTTCTTTTTCTGGGTCATTGCATGTTACTGCTAACTCTTTTTTCAAACAGTTGATGGATATTAAAAAAACGTTGAATAAATGGAGGCACAATGTTAGTGATCCAATTTTGAAAATCATGACAGCAAATATGCAATTGAAGTACAACAAGTATTGGGAAAGCAATACAATAAATTATCTTCTCTTTGTTGCTATTTATCTTGATCCTCGTTATAAGCTTGACTATATTGAATTTTGTTTTACTCGGATGTATGGTGAAAAATTGTCAGAGGATATGTTAAAGAAATTGAAATCTCTCATTGCTAAATTGTTTGAGCACTATTTATTTTTGTATCCTGTTTCTCATGATGGTGGTTCCAATGCCTCATCTTCAAACATTGCCTCTCATTCTAGAATTGAAAATGGTGAAGATGATGAAGATTGGGACAATTTGTTTAGAATGAATATGAAGAAAAAACAATGTGAAGTGCAAAAAAATGAGTTGGAAAGTTATTTGGAGGATGGTGTTGAAGATGATTCTCCTACATTTAATATTCTCACTTGGTGGAAAGGAAAAACAAATAAATATCATGTGCTTTCCCGCATAGCTAGAGATATATTGGCTATCCCTGTATCCACTGTATCTTCTGAATCCGCTTTTAGTACAGGAGGTCGTGTCCTTGATTCATTTCGTAGTTCCTTGAATCCCTCTACCGTTGAAGCTTTGATTTGTACTCAAAATTGGATCAAATCTCCTAAGGTCATTGATTTAGAAAAAGAGTTGGTTGAATTGGAAAAGGTTGAGTCAGGTATGAATTATATGTTTGAATTTTAAAATCTATTTTATTTTAGTATTACATTACATTATTCTTATTAGTTGTTTGTGTTTACATATATAGAGTTAGCTAGATTAGTTTCTATTGATGTTGGCATTACTGCGGTTGAGCTCAATACAACTGTTACTACTAGATTTTAAGGTATTTTCTAGTGTTGTTTTTTTTCTTCTTCTTTTGACTATTGTTGCTGGATTTTATGTTGTTGCTAAACGTTTCATTGTTGTTGCTGGAATCTTTTACAGCTACTGTTGCTGGATTTTCTGTTGTTGCTAAACCTTTCACTGCTGGTGCTGGAATCTTTTATAGTTGCTGTTAGATTTTGGTGCTATTAGACCAATATTGGACCAATACATCTATGTCATTTTAAGACTAAGTGATGTTTATTTGCTTTTGAATTATTTAGAATTTATGAATTTTATGGAAATGATATTTTATGGAATTTTATATATTATTAAGTGTTAATATATATGATAGTTTACGGACCTACTTTTAAGCATGTGCTAGAAAAGGTAACATTTGAGTATCAAAACAACTAATATATACTGTATATTATTATATATTTGTTTTACATATGTTGATATATATTTGTAATGGATAACATTTGAGTATCAAAATAACTAATAAATTTTTATAAATTAAGGTATATTAATGAAAATATATAAATAATTAATGGTGTATATGTATCTTAATATTTTTTATGACAAAGAAAATACATTTCAAAATTTTAATTGTTATATTTTTAATTATTCTATTTTATATGTAGGATTTGTCTCCATTACGTAAATAATTTAATTGTTTGAAATATGCAAAATTATATTGAATTGTGTTATAGATTTTTTAAATTGAAAATAATAATTATTATATACACAACCCGTGGACTCAACCCTACCCAACCCGTAAATATCCGGGTTGATTCCGGTCGGTTTTTAAAGTAGAATTACGGGTTTGATAATAAACCCAACCCATTGAAAGTTGAACGGGTTGGGTAACGGGTTAAGGCGAACCCGGTCCAACCCAACCCGCGTACACCCCTAGACACTACCACTGTTTTATATTTATTATGAGTTTTATATTTGTTATGAAAACTTAATATTTCTTGCTGCTATTTTCAAATATTTTCTCACAACTTGTATTAGTTAATGTAAATTTAGTTTTTATGTTCAATAAGAGTTCTCTTGAGGTCTCTTAAGTCTTAACTTTTCTTTATCAAAATCTTTTTATATATGAACTTTATTTCATAACTTTTTTTTTCATTATTTTATTTGTAAATTTTTAGATGATTGATAGATAATACGGAGGAAGCAATAACACATAAAAACAATAATAAAATGCTCAATTTTACTACTCATTATTAACACATTATCTAATTTGTTGCATTTTAGCAATTGCATTTTTTTAGTTATTTAATACAATTGAATTTTTAAAATTATTATTTATTTTATAATTAAATAATTTATTTTAAATTTGCATGTGCATTTAAATCCAATTTATATCGTATCAAATAATAAATCCAATTTATATTGTATCAAATAAATTTATTTTTGCGAACTATCAATTTAAGTCTTACTAGTTTAATATATGGAAACATAAAATAAATCTAATTTCCAAAAAGTAATTGAAACTTGACCTGATTGACCGGTTCAACCGGTAGACTGAGAACCGGGAACCGGGCCATGTTTCCGTCCGTTTGACACAATCGTACAGTAACATTTTTATTCTTGAACGTCAAAAACACAGAAACCCCGCGAGAAACAACATTCAGATCCAAACTCTGAAAATTTGAAAACCTTCTTCTCTATCCGTTGAGAATTCGAAGAACCCTAATCCCCAAAAATGGAGGCTCTCTACAAAAAACTCTACGCTAAATACACCAAACTCAAGGTCTCTCTCCTTTCCTTCTTCTTCCTTTCAACTTTTTTCTTCCACTTCTTACTCACTTACTCACTCGCCTATTTATTTTTCAGACTAACAAACTCTCTGAGTTCCATGAGCCCGCCAAGGAACAAGAACACAAATTCCGCAAATTCGTCTCTGGTAATTTACATTCTTTCGTTTATCTCTCTTCGCGAGCTTAATTTTCACGCATGTGTGAATTGATTTCTGTCGCAGCTTCGGAACAGTTGATAGATCACTTGAGAAATGAATATGACAAGGTTCTGGAACACAACAATGATTTGGTAAATGAATTGACTTCGATTAGGTATGCACTATTTTGTAATTTTCCCTCTTTTTGTTTGGGTAGATTGTTGTGCATTTTGTGTGTGTTGGACATTGAAATATTGAAATTTGTTTTTCTCATACAGGCTTGCCAAAGACAATCAACTGATTGATCTACAAAAGCTTTTAGGAGAGGAAACCAAAAAAAGTGAGAAATCTAATTGATTTTTGTCTTTGTTGAAAATAGCTGTTACATATCATAGGATAGATGTATGGGTTGAGTTAGGTTTAAAGAACAAAATTCTAAAAAAATGTAGCAACGAGGTTGTAAAAAACAATTTGTTACTGCGAAAACGGTCGCGACAAAACGTTATTGGAAGATGCCGATAGCGATGCCGTTTTTCAGATAAAGAACAAATTGTGGTTAATTCATACTGCGGCGACTGCAATTAGTATCACGACACCTCTGTACTGGCCAAAGTTGCAAAAGTCTTTACGCGACCACGGGTGTTATTTAAAACTTGGATCAGCAATATCTATCAACTTGGTCTAGAAAATCTGATTTTACTTTTCAATGAAATGTTCATGGATTCTTTGAAGTTACTAAGTGATTTACTTATTCATCCCAAAATACAAAGAGTTAGTAAGTTATTATCTTTCAGGTGCTTCGTGGCTTGTACGAGAATCTAATGTTACTATAGGTTTTTAGCTTGTTGTTTTTAGTCGGAAATTGTTATAGTTACTGCAATTAGTCGTTATTCAGGATAGCTAATTAAACATTGATGTGTAATTAATCAGTTATGGAATTCTTCTTTGCAATATCAGTTGATATGTTTATCTTATATATGATGCTGAGAACAAAACAGTCAAGTTCATTAGTGTTTGTTAATTGATTACTGGGAGTATATCAACTATAATTGAATGATGTTTGTAGCTTTTCCTTGATTTCTAAGATATATTCAGTCATAACCAGACCACACCAACAACAATAGACCATTTAAAAATATATATGGAGGCATGGGATTCAAGTTACAAGAACTTGCAGCAAGTGAAAGATGCTTCTGCTCGACTGAGATATTTGAGCTTCGAGAAGAGTTCATCAAAGTGACTGCAGATAGAGTTGTCCGTCTTGGCAGCTACGGGGTAGCTTTTTCAAATAACCGAAAGAAGTGTTTGTTAGAGATATGGTGGTTAATATGAACCTGGATTCTATGCAGTCAATATGTGAACAGGGTTCTGCATTAAGTGAAAATTGACCATAAAAAATTTGGAGAGATAAAATTGAGTGAGGTAATGCCAAAAATAGCCTTCAAAATACACTAAATGCAGGGGCTGTGATTTTATAACTGCAGAGGATTCATTTTCGTGGTTAGAAATCTGTTTATAAAATTTTGGTTTCATTAAGGGGTTTTAAAACTTGAACTGGCTTGAAAATTGTTTATAAAATTATAAATCGGTTTTAAGGATCCAGCACTTTAACCTGTTGTTCGATCCCCCACTTCAACCGTTACTTTGGTGAACTGGTTGATATGTTCTCGTAGAATTTCTTTCATGTTCTTTTGAATTTCACTGAGAACAGCTATTGTCTTGGGTGGGCACTTTCGGGCTGTAACTGAGTTGTGAACTCGTCGCACAGCTTCTTCCCCGTGTCTTCCTTGTCCTTAAACTTATTCCATTTATGTCATTTTTCTTATTGAGAATTTGGGTGTGAACTTTTGGCAGGTGAAGCTCTTCTTGAAGAAGTTGAGAAGTTGCAAAAGCTTCTGAAAGAAGGAACTTTGAAGGAAGGAACTTCTGGTGATTTAAATAACAGCAATAAGATCAAGAGCAATACTTCCAATAACTCATCTGTAAGAATGACAAGAAAACGTATGAGACAGGAACAAGATGCATTGGACAAAGAAGCGAGGATTATACCATTTCCATGTGAAGTTGATGAAGGTAATTCTGTGGAGAGAGAGTCAACCCGAAGCTTTCTCAAGGAGAATGCTTCCAGTAAGGTGAGAGCATTTAGAACCTTAAAAACAGAAGATATTTGCGTGTGTTCAGTTATATATGAACATGAATATAAATTGTAATTATAATTATGTATACACATTTCGTATAACTCTTTTGGTGGAAAAATTAAGCACCTTAATATGCTCTGTCATTTTGTTGTGAAAAGCTGCTGGAGCCTTCTACGTCTAAGGTTAATGATCAATCAGGTTCATGTAAGTAATTGGTATTCACTCTTCTTTATTATTGAATGGTTTCATTGGTGTTTTAGCAATATTTTTATATGTCCTTCATTATGTTTTACAGGCATTGATTTACAAGAAAGTGGTCATAGTAGTTGGCTTGCTCATGCTCTTTTTGAGTATACATTGGGTATGAAGTTATCCTTTGACAATCAAACTGGACGATCATGTCTTTTTGCAAATCAATCAACCGGTAATTCATACCTTTGGCTTGCAAATTTGTAATCGATAGGACTGTTGTAGAATCAACCGAGTCCTTTTCTTTTTAATTTGGTCTTGATATCAAATTGTCACTGTCATGGTGTATGCTCTTTGTAGATTATATAGTTTATTTTTGCTAAATATTCAAGCGAATAAATAAATTATAAGCTTAAGATTTGAAGACAAATTTGAAAGCATTATGATGTTTCACTTTATAAGAGTAGTATTCAGTTAATTAAGAAATTCACGGACAATAACCTATTCTAGATTCTTGTTTCACTTTGAAGGCCTTTTCGGCTATATTTTACTGTTAAAATTTGAAATAAAGTTTTAGCCATTCAATATTTTTGTAAGTGTTTGGTTAAAATGCTTCAATTATTGCCATCATTACAGGTTTCTCCTTCAGTTTATCATGGATTGGCAAAACCCCCGGAGAGGAAGCCGGAGACGATGCAGAACTGCTATACCAAGTAGAATCTCTAGGCATGCTTGAAAGATTAGTACCAGAATGGATGGCGGAAGACATCAAGTTCAGCCCAACCATGTGCCCCATCTTCTTTGAAAGAGTATTGCGAGTTATCAATTTGAAATACTGAAGTTTCTTTTTTCGTAGTTGTACATATTTCCACTTCAATTATTTGGAGGACTGAGAAACTAGGAATGACATTTGAGATGAAACGGATGTCAACATAATTATTTGATTAGTGAAGATGCTGATTCAAAAATTGAAGTGGACGCATTCGGAGGTGCAAGTAAAAATACAAGTATTCATGAGCTGCACCTAATCAAGAAAACTATTTAGTTTCATCTGCTTAGTTGTTGTACTGGTTTTTAGGCTGATTTTTTTGGTGACCTTTTGTGCTCTTCTAGCCTTAATGTTTTAAATTGGTTTTTTTAGTGCTCCAAGTCATTTTAGTGGTCAATGAAAATTTATTTCTTTTGTTGAGGTTAATTTTTTGATAAATTCAATTAGCAATGCTATTGGGAAATGGTCGTGAGAAATTTTATGCAATTTGCATTTTGGAGAGCTTGTATCTTTCTAATGAAGACTATAAACATCGCTTAAAAACTCTTACATACGATTAACTTTTCACTTGAGTGAGATATTTCTATATGATTGACATTGTCAGAAGCTCTTAAAAATTGAAATTATTATTTATTTCAAATATATTCAAAACTCGAATGCTATATAATGTAAATTGCATACAAAATTACATTTCTTTCCTATGTAAGAAGATAATGTCTCGGAAGCCATACATAACAAATCTTTTTTGTCTAAATTTTTATACATAACAAATACGGGGGAGATGTGTTGCCAAAATAAAATTGAATGCATAAATAAAGAATGATAGAATTAAAAGTTGGTCTAACTCATTAAGTATTTTTCGTGCTTCACGGTTTTGTTAGTATATGCAAGATCTCATGTGTTTTTGAGTTCAATGATGTTCAAATAAAGTAAAAATTTAATTTTTAGACATTGTCTTCGAGAATTGAAGATCAAACATCAAGAAAATATGTGGGAAAAAATTTCATTAATGAATGTTATTTAGAATGGAACAATTGGTGAAAATGCAATCTGAAAAATCAAGAGCAGGATGTGTGATTTGTATTGGAAGTAAATTTTGAGAATAAAATATCTTCAAAAAGAGATCATAACACTTCGTTGATAATTTTTTTATATTATGAATAATATTATTGATAATTTGCGCTATATGATGGGATTGTGTTTCTATCCTTGATAATGGAATTATCATATGAGAATTCTTCTGTATTTCAGAGAGGATAGTCATTGCAAATTAATCTTTAAAAATTTAGAGAGTTTAGAAATGAGGTGGAATGAAAAGAAAATTGAGTTTCATCTTCTTGTAAGCAAACTCATCTGGGCAAACTTGGCAGGGGCTAACTTTTGATGTATGTGATTCTTCACATTCGCACAGCTCTTGCTTGACTGCAAAGTTAGCAAGTATTCACGAAGCTCTTGCTTGACTGCAAAGTTAGCAAGTATTCACGAAGCTCTTGCTTGACTTTGAAGTTGGCAAGCAAGACGATAGCTCACATTCACAATTTTGGCCGGGGCAAAGAAGAGCTTGCTTATGCGAAGTTACCGTGTATTTAAAAGTAGCGAAATTTTGCTAATTTTGCATACACAAAATCGCATGTCACATGCGAGACAAGTCTTCCAAACGAGTAACACCTTGGTAGATATGCTAGATATGCTGCTCCTCAGCTTCAACGTTTAGCTTATGGAGGAAATACAGTATTCGGACAATACCTCAGTTACTTTCTATCAGAAGCTAAAAAAAATTTGGTAATTTTCATTAATTACACAAATCAATAATAAAATACAACAGTAGGCAGTTCCACATAATTTGAGTTACTCAAAATTTGACTAACCCACTTTTATCTTGACATATATTCTCACCTTCACTCCCCCATCCAAAACAGGACATTTCTCTTTATCTACTTCCCCCTCTCTAACATACTTACATTCTAGGTCAGTAATGGCTAGATATCACAAAAGTATCTGCTAAATCCCAGCTTCTCTTGATTGAAAAAGAAATAGCAAGGTTTGCAACAACTGCCCCCAAATGCCACTTAAAAGAATCTGAAGTACCAGTAGATCGGTTTCACAAGCTGTAGAAGAAGAACTAACACGTAGTACCAGTAGATCGGTTTCACAAGCAGTAGAAGAACTAACACGTAGTACCAGGTAGAGTGGCAATCAATAATCTACGCGCAATCGCCGCAATTCAGATTTGAATGTTGTAATAGAACTGAGAGTCCTATGAGCAAGACTCCGTATATCCTCTCGTGAGCAATCCCTTGAAATTCTGACGAGTTCCCAAAGAGCACCACCACTAATCATGTCTTTTGCATTTGCCTCTGCAATATTTATAACCTCAGTTGTTTAAAGTTTTATAATGATGTGAGAAAAACTGAAAAACATGATAAGAAGTCATATTACCATGCTGTGCCAAGTGGCAAAGTGCAAGCTCAATGTGACGCCTAATTGGTGCTGCTTCATTATTAGCATTTTGTACTATCCACGGAAGTGCACCATCTTCTATCAATATAGATCGGCCAGTTTTTATCCCTGAGAGTGCAAAATATAATAGTAAGAGAAACTCTATTGCTTTGTCCTTAAATACCAAAAACACGGCTGTTTTAGGTTTTCTACTGCTTAGGAGTAGTGTGATGTGAATGACACTGTAGAGAATTGTTTGGGAGTAAGAATATGTATGTACTTACATAAAAAGTGGGAAAAAATCTGAAACGTCTATTATAATTTATAAGCTCTTATTTGAATTTTATATAAGAATCAAAAATCAGTTCTCCAGTTGGAGATGGTCTAAAGCTCCAAACTAAACCCCTTTATTTCAACTCTTTCTCTATAGTGCTAGAAATATATTCATTTTCTTCTTGGGAAGCGTAAGTGACGTGTGCAAAAACAACGGGAGTTGCTTGCCTAGAAACATGAATGTTACCTTAGTTATTGGATGACCGATATTTTGGTGACAATTTCTAAGTAACAACTTTATCCATTTTATATCCAATTTGACATTTACACAGAACATTTTCACTCTTGAGAATCAAATACTAACGATGAAGAAAGTAGACCTTGATTAGAAGCTCGAGACTCGCATTTTGCAAAATTTGCGATTCCTCGTGCAACTTGGGAAAGAACGTCTGGATGTCCACATCTTACGATTCCCAGTAAGGCCTTGATACCTCCCTGAGATCTCAGAGTCATCAATATTTTATCTGGATGAAAAACAGACAAAATTATGAATAAACTTTAAAAAAAAAAGATATCTAGTGATGGTAATGTGAAGATTGGTCATTAATAATGGCATCAAAATCAAACTAACTATGAATACATCATATAGCTGGTATGCCTTTAAGTAATTTCCCAATTATTTTTATTTGATAGATAAAAAAAATTCAAAACTTAGATTTTAGCACAGGAATGACAAGGAAGCAAGGAAATATAGCATTTCCACAACATGAATGACTAGAAAACAAGTAAATATACCATTTCCACAACATGAATGACTAGAAAACAAGTAAATATACCATTTCCACAACATGAATGACTAGAAAACAAGTAAATATACCATTTCCACATAGGTTAGCAATTGCCCCCGCAACCATTCGAAGAGTTTGGGGATCTTCTGCATCAGATGCAGCCATTGATAACAGAGTGATTCCTCCTTCAGCCATTATAAGTTCTTGATTCGCTTCTGAATTGCCACAAAAGAAAGCAAGACAATATCAATACTAAAATTAGCTGAATGCACGACCACAAATAAACTGTACTGTTAACGAAGTCTGATGCAAGATCTTATCATCTAAAACATTACAAAATTGAAAAATACTACAATAAACATCACCATTCATAGCAAGATTGGCAATTGCCCCAGCAGCTACTCTGCGAACAGTTTCATCCTCATATCTTCGAAGAAGCATCAGCAAGGAAGTAAGACCACCAGCTTCAACAATTCTCTTTTGATTAGCTTCTGCTTATAAGATTGAGATGAATTACTAAACATACCATACAAGTAACAAAAGGCACAAGAACATATACAACGAAAATATTAAAGTCTAAATATTTTTAAGACTTCAGTATAAATGCAATGAAAATGTGGAAAGAAAAGAGAAAATGGTCAGTAGGGGGTGGGACCAAAGTGAAAACAAAGAGGTGACTTCAAGTTGCTTTCAACAACATTTACTCATAAGAGACAGAAGCTTTATGGAAAAATAACATGCAAACGTATTTTTACACTAGATATGGAATTTTCCTGATGAAAATCACCAAATATAGCAAGCATTGAAGGGACAAAGCTTGCTATATTTGTAGGTCTATGACTGAGAAAAAAAGACGATGCAGCAAAATTATATGGCCAAAACAAAGCTTGATATTTTTGTAGGTCTATCAAAGGTTTTGATTATAAGATTACAACACTAAAAATTGACTGACAAGTTTTGCACGCAATGGTGGTAAGCAATCAAGAATCACAGAAGCACAACTCTCAGAATCTACAAACAGAGCATCATAAATGAAAATAGGCATAGAAAGCATGAGCAAAACATAAGCGAAATATCTGAAAGCTCTGATTTCTGAACAAAAATTTGCTAAAGGATGAAAATTTTTATTTCACCCATCCAGAATTCTTATAGCTTGGAGAAAAGACAAAAAAAAATAAAAATAGAACATCTGGTAATAGTAGAGGATCAAATAACAAAGTCCCAGGAAGAAATTAGCTTCTACCTTCGGCTGCTAGGTTGGCCACCACTTTCACAGCATGAATTCGTACATTGGCATCCTCTGACTCCAGCAATGACAAGATCTTTTGCAATCCAACTGTTAAAATAATGTGAGACATATAGACATGGATGATCTGATGTTGATTCTAGTGTTGTAAACAGTGCAGTATATCAGTGTAGAGGAGCGGCCTTAGGCCAATATAGGACATGCAGTAGATGGCAGTTCAGTGTGGCGGCCTATGAAGCAGAGACTCCAAAATGTACACAGGAACACAACACGACACAGACACTCTGACACCAATAATGTCAAAATCATAGGACACCGACACCG